ATCTCCAATTCCTAAAGGAAATCTGCATCCAAAGACCTTCAAAATCCCAAAAAATCTTTTGCTGCCACTGGAAATCTGCATCCAAAGATCTAAAAAATCAATAAGCCAGAGAGTAAAAATAACAATATATAACAATGAAAAAATCACCAAAAAAACTATCCCTCCAAAAAAAAAATACATTATTCTGGGGGCCTTTATTAATCAGTGCAGGAAAAAAAAAGTCATTATTGTGGGGATCTTTATTAATCAAAGGTTAACATTATTGAAGAAAGGATGACTATACAATACAGTATAGATCGAGTGTGGATTCGTTGAGGGGTAATACTTCACAACCGCCCACGATCAGATTTCAGTCAGAGTAGATGGCTGGGATCACCAAATCAGACGGTGTCTCCTTCTAAATCAGCCAAGTGACCATCCTTCAAGAAAAAAATGCTTGCCACTTATGTATGTGTGTGCGTGTTGCTTGTTGCATGCTTGCAAAGTGATTAGATGGAGCGCTGTTGTTCAGAAAAGAGTACTGGCGTGAGAATGGGAACCAATCTGAAGCTGTTGACGTAACATACCTCCAGATTAGATGAGCTTCAAGTGCTTCCTGGATCAAACCGGAGCCACTTCATGCTGTGAAACGGAACTCCGGTCGGACTCTTCTTCACTGGGCCCCCACGCGCCTGGCACCAGGACATTTATTCAGATTCCACAGCTCGAACGGAGTGGAAGACTCGAGCACCTCGGACGGAGTGGTGTGGTGCTCGTCGGCCAAGCGATTGGGGCGGCCCGCGGACGGCACGCGGGAAACAGGTGTTGCCAAGCGATTGGTGGTTGGAATTCTAAGGGATTTTCAGAGCCTACTCGATGAATAAGATCGCATGTTTAGTCTATATAATATGAAATTCTGGCAGATTTTGGGATGCTTTTGATTCCATTGAGTTCTGTGGGGGGGTTTGATTCTGTGGTCTCTCAATGTCGTCGAAACTTGCCCTGGAGTTGAGACACAGGGCACGTCTCAGGTTGAGCTGTTTGATATCCACGGATGGGGTTTTGCATTTTCCCGACCCTTTTTCCGTGCTTGTGAAAGGTCTATATATAATATATCTATCTAAGTCTATAAGAGTCTAACGATACGACAAAATGTTCTTTGACCAGAACGGATTTGTCCAAAACCATCCGCGTGTCTCCTCAGAACAGTATAGAACCACCATGCTTGGGTTCGGACCGCATATGCAGCCGTGGAGCTTGCTGCGACATCTCGGTCTATCCGACCGTCTGGGGTGAACCGCCCAGCCCAAGGCCCTGGATGTGGTGAACCGATACAAGTCGCATCCGGCCATCCTGCTGTGGGGCTTCGGAAATGAGAAGAACTTCTATGCCCCTCGGCTTGGGGACGCCGTCGTGGCCGAGGCAGTCGTGGCCGAAGCAGATGGCCAATTCGGGTTCGTGGCCGAAGAGAGGAAGTTCCAAATTGTGAGGGAGGAAGCATGATGATTGTGTGGATTCTTCAGCCCTCAAGCAAGAACCCCATAATAATATATATCAGATACCTATAGTAGTATATACCTACTTGTTTCGATCTGTTTCGATCCCTCCTGGCACACCCACCTTCAGCTGAACTCTGCAGCAGGCCGATACCGAGCAGAAGCGAACGGATCACTGGTCCCACGTGAGCGAAGTGACCGATGAGATCCACCAGGTCCGACAAACCGGGAAGCACCCAATAGCGACGACGGAGGAGAGGACTCGGCTGGAGGGAGTGATTGTTTTTCTTCTTTGTTTCTACTAGCAATGGCCTCCAACTTATATAGCAATGGCCTCCAACCTAATAGCAATGGCCTCCAACCTAATAGCCATGGCCTACAACCTAATAGCAATGGCCTCCAACCTAATAGCAATGGCCTCCAACCTAATAGCCATGGCCTACAACCTAATAGCAATGGCCTCCAACCTAATAGCAATGGCCTCCCACCTAATAGCGATGGCCTCCAACCTAAGAGCAATGGCCTCCAACCTAATAGCAGTGGCCTCCATCCAAATAGCGATGGCCTCCAACCTAATAGCGATGGCCTCCAATCTAATAGCCATGGCCTCCAACCTAGTAGCAAAGGCCTCCAACCTAATAGCCATGGCCTCCAACCTAATGGCC